ACACGTGTAGGTTTTTTTCGTGGGGATATCATTGGTAATGTCTTGTTAATTTAAGTATTTAATGTTCATTTATCTGCCATAAAATTACGAATGGTTCTAGCTGATATTTAACCATCCCTCCACTTGATTTTTATTGCATTTTTTGCAGTTTTTATAATTGGCTTGTTATGTTTAGCTTTGGTTTTACGAGGTGAATATTATTAATGTAGTTGCAAATAAGTAACAATAATACCTTTTCATCCTCTATGACATTACGTAGTCATCAGGGAATCTATACATCAGCCTCATCACAACTCATTATACATCATACAAAATACATTATACAGAAACCTCATGATTGATTATACATTATACAGTTGTGCATTATACAGAAGCCTCATCACGGTTAAATCTAAAACTGCCATACGAGTCACTGATTCAACTCAAAGACGTCAGACAAACCTTTGATCCGACTCAACTACGAGTCTTCAGTTCGACTCACCTGAAGGGCGGACAGGTCAGGGGTTCGACAGACAGGTCAGCGCCGCACAGGTAACACGAGGAAGGGAGACTGAAGCTAAAGAGACGTCCTTCGCAGTGCTGGTAACACACGATTCCCGGGTCGAGGTTCATTGCTTCGCTGCGGAATTGATAAAGACGTTTCGATTAAGTTCGTAAGCCGGCTTGGATGCTTCGTTTGGAAGAGAAACCGTTCGCTTTTCAACTGGTGTCACGAGGAAGGTGGCCAAGGGATAGAGGCTAAAATGATGTTCCTGACTATTTTTTAATATCTAAATCAGGAATTTATATTGTTTACGTCTCCCATTAGTTAAAACGCACATTTTTTAAATAAACATATTTCGTATAGAAGATACGCATATGAAACCAGGCAGGTTCTTTATCACACTCATTCCTTGCATGTCACCCGCGCGCCGGTTTCCAGGCCGAGCTGTGACCCAGACGGTCAAAAACCCCGCCGCCATGACCGAGGGCTCGGCCAGTGGTTGGAGAAACTACCCAGACGTACCCGCCCTCCCCCCTTCCCTCCCACCTCCTCCTCCCCACCACGTCCCTCCCTCCTCCCGTTCCTCCCCACCACGTCTCTCCCCATTCTCTTCCTCAACCCTTCTCCCTTCTCCTCTTATTCTTCCTCCTACTCCCTCCTCCACCCTACTATTCCTTCCTCCTCCTTGCCTCCCTCTTCCCCAACCCCTCCCTCAGGCCACTTCCCTCCTCCCTCCTTACCTCCTTACCCTCCACCCTAATTAATCACGCCTTACCCCTCCTCCCCTCCCCCACCTACTGCCATCATCCTCCCCCTCCTCCTCCCCTTCCCTACCTCCTTCCCTCTCCCACCCCTCCTCCTCCCCTCCCCTACCTGCTTCCATCACCCTCCCCGCCTACTCCCCTCTCCTCTCCTACCTCCTTCCATCACCCTCCCCCTCTCCTCCCCTACCTCCTTCCATCCCCCACCCCCTCCCCTCCCCCTACCTCTCTCCATCACCCTCCCCCTCCTCTCCCCTACCTCCTTCCATCACCCTCCCCCTCCCCCTCCTTTCTCCCCTCCTCCACCTCCTTCCATCACCCTCCCCATCCTCTTCCTCTCCCCCACCCATCCACTCTCACCCCACGGCTACCTCTTTCCATCACCCTCCCCCTCCTCCCCTCCCCTACCTCCTTCCATCACCCACCCCCTCCTCCTCCCCTCTCCCATACATCCACTCTCACCCCACGGCTACCTCTTTCCATCCCCCTCCCCCTCCTCCTCCTCCTCCCTTCCTCCACCTCCTTCCATCACCCTCCCCCTCCTCCCCTACCTCCTTCCATCCTCTCCTCCTCTTCCCCCCCCCTACCTCCTTCCCTCTCCCACCCACCCACTCTCACCCCACGTCTGCCCCTCGACCCCGAAGTCAGTCTGCGATGCTCCCCGTCGTGGGTCCGGCCGCTTCCCTTGCCTTCGAGCGTGGGTGCTGTAACCTCGATTTTTTTTTTTTTTTCTTTTCTTTTTGTTCCTTGGCGATGCTGAGGAAATGTGAGTGATGATGTTGGTAATGATGATGATAAGGGTGATTATAGGTATGATGATGATAATGGCGATGATGATAACAACAGCAATAATGACAATAATAACATCAATAATAATGAGAATGATAGTAAGATTAAAAACATAGTGATAATAACCTAAATAATAACAAAAATAATAATCGTAATGATAATAATGACAATAATGATAATAATAACATTATTATTATTAGCAACAGCAATAATAATGATAGCGATAACCAAAATGATAATAATACTAGTAACAATAGTAAGAGAAATATTAATAAAAATGCTAATGAAAATCATAATGACAGTTACTATTATCATCCTTATTATCATCATTACTACTATTATTATCATTATTGTTATCATTACCACCACCACTACTATTATTATAATGATAATGACTATAATAATAACAATCATTATCATTTAATATCACCATCAAAATTATCAATAATAATATAATCATTATATTTATCAGTAAACTTATTATCATCATGGAGATAGTGGTTGCGATGATGATGATGATATTAATAATAATGATAATGATGATGATAAATCTAATAACAATGCAAATGCTAATGATACTAAAAATATTAATAGAAATTATAATAACAATGATAATGATGATAATGATCATGATAATAATGATAGAGATAAAATAAAAATAAAAGAGGATATTGAAAAAGGTAAGGATGATGATGATAATAATAATAAAAGTAATAAAATTAGTAATAGTAATAACGTTAGTCAAAATGGTAACAACACCAATACCAATAATAATAACAATAATAATGATAATGATATATCAATACTACTACTATTACTACTACAAATAATAACAGCAACAGTGTTAAAGATAATACTAATAATAACAACAATAATAGTAACAATAATAATAATAAAATACGTAATATTAATGATATTATTAATGATATACTAATAATGACAATAACAATAATAGTAATAATACCTATACAAGATATAACATTAACGCTGATATTGCCGACTGCAAGATAAATTTCCAAGGCAACGCAACAGTCACAATGCAACAACAACAAACACCTGGAAGTGCTGAAGTTGGCACAGTGCCAGGCTCTCATCCAGCCAAGGAAAGTGACCAGAGCAGGTTGCAGGTTTTCAAGCGTAGTCTGTCTGTCATTTCGGAATATATTTTTTTGGTACTTCACGTCTAGCTTGTTTGCTTTGTTTGTTTTAGGTACTTAGTCCTATTTTTTTGTCTTTTTTTTTGTTCTTAGGCCCATTGTCTACTTAGGCCTATCGTAAAGTTTGTTTGTTTTTGTAATTTGTCTTGTTTGTATTTTGTACCCATCGTCTAGTTTTAACCTATCGTCTAGTTTGTTTGCTCTGTTCCTTTTCGCATATACGTCTTTTGTCTAGTTTGTTTTTGGCACTTGTGTTTGTCTCGTTTGAGTTGAAGGCCTATTGTCTAGTTAGTTTGCCTTGTGTGTCGAGTGCTGTTTTAATGATGATAATGAAAATAATAACAACCCATGCATATGGGGTATAAAGCGGGAAGTTGTTTTTGTTGTGTATTTGCGCATATGAGCGAGTTTGTACACTGTATGTGTCTGTATATGTGATGGTGTATTTTCGGGTGTGGGTACTATTGCGAGAGAGAGAGAGAGAGAGAGAGAGAGAGAGAGAGAGAGAGAGAGAGAGAGAGAGAGAGAGAGAGAGAGAGAGAGAGAGAGTCCAACTTTACATAAACACAAGCAATCCCACTGAGCACCAAAGCAACAAACCGACTCCCCGACACAAAGAACCTGGCGAGAGTGAGAGCGGACGAGAAAAGATTTCACTTTTATCCCTAAGGGGGGTTAAGTGGCTGCCTCCCAGACGTCCACCTTCCTCTCCACCTCTTGGTCCACCTCTTCTCGAGTCTGAGAGAGTAGTCGCCGAGAATCCACCTTGAGTCTCAGAGGGAAAATGTATCTAACGTTAAAAGGGAGTCGATGGGTATACTGTGTGTACTGTATAACGACAAGAGGGTGTAGTAAACAAGCAAAGGTACCGCCGTAGTCTGACTTATCACTAAGCGGCCTCCGTACTTTTTTATTTGAAAGAAGATAGAACATTTGTTAAATCTCGGGCGAATTAGCAGGGAATCTCAACCATGTTCTTTTATAATCCATAAGACAGGAGCGAAAGGGGTAGGGCGGAAGGAAGAATGGGAATAAATAATGAGGAACCGACGCGGGCACCGACGCAAACTGACCCTGTCTCGCTTCAAGTCTTGGGCTGACCTCAAAACCCTAATTACATTGTCAACAGCGCGTGAAGACGACTGGTAGAAGTTGCTCACTTGCCTCATGACGTCCCTCCTCTTCCTTAATAACACTGCGCTCTATAAACTGAATCCCAGACGAAATAAAGGCACACGAATCACAGTAGGTGTACCAACGGATCAGTCATCGTGCTGTGTCGATGTGGGACACCACGAACACCGAATAACATCTACTGGTCTGAAGGAAAGCATGTGCAAAGTCTCATTATGCCGTTCATCCCATATAGATTCAAAACAATTTCCTGCTTAGAGTGAGAACATACGAGAAGCCAATTTAAAAAAATCGAAACAAAAATGAAAGAGATCGAAGAACACAAGCGATAAAGAGAAGAGCAGAAGCTGCAGAATCCAGATGAATGAGAGGAGTCCACTCAAAGAGGTCACGCCCACACAATACCCTCCAGGCGGAATCAGTTTTTTTTAAGTAGAAAATAAGACAAAGCGACATTGATAAAGGATTGCAAGAAAGTTCCCTCTTCAGTATAATAATTACCTACCAATTATCCAGCTACGAATTACATTAGACAGAGACAAAGTCCACCTGACTACTGCTCAGTACCGTCATCTTCCGTAATGGAAACGTGAGACGCAGGTAACCCGCACCAACCGTTTTTCTTGAACTTTCTCTCTTTCAGCCAAGCCTCGATAACTCGGTCCCGCCGGAGAG